TGGCCTAAACCAGTGACCTATACAATGAAATTATAACCTCTTTAGACTTGTGTTCAATATTTCTGTAGACACAACCTAAAATCATATTTTCCCTACCACTAACAACAACAATACACTGCTTGGAGGGTTTAAGAGACTGATCAACCACTGCACCAAGATCTCTTTCTTTCATAACACTGTTAAGGTTATTCCCATCCAAATGATACTCATAATTCAAATTATGATAACTTACATGCATTATCTTGCATTTATTATAATTAAAACCCATTTGCCCAACTAACTAAATTATCTAAATCCTTTTGTAAAGCAGCAGCATCCTCTTCAAAGCTAGCAGCACGCAAAACCTTTATATCATCAGCAAATTTAAGTAATCTATTTAATATTCCTTCATCTATGCCATTGATGTAAATCAAAAAGCGCAAAGGTACTAAGAATGAGCCCTGAGGTAACCCACGTGTGACATTAATCTAGTTTGACTGAACTCCATTTATAGCAACCCTCTACTTTCTTCCATCCAGTCACTCTTCTATGCAATTAGCTAACTTATCCCCTACACCTAAAGAGATCACTTTTTACTAGACTTTTATGTGGCACCTTGTCAAAGGCTTTATGAAAATCCAGATACACCAAATCTACACCCTTACCCTAATCTATTGTTACGTCTCCGTTTGTTAATTGATTTTCCGTAACTTCGTTCCGACGAAACTTAAGCGACACAAGTTCTTTCTTAATAAAACTGGTTTATTCTTTCCGAATATAACTCTGCGATACACTTAATCTCAATACTCGCGCTAAAACAACACTGTAACGAACGAACGTTAACTTCAACAATACCGTGTGACTGCAGTTCAATTACTCACTATCTACACACACATTACATTACTGCCGTCACGTCTTGACCGTCTTATATATAAAAGAATACCGAAGTCTAGTAACCTCCCGAGAATTCACGAAGCTTCGAGAATATGACGTGTTACTAGCGTCACGTGACCTCGATGACGCAACACTATATAAGCAGTAACTTTTTAAAGAATATCAAAAGATTTGTAAGGCAAGATTTTCCCTTAATGAAATCATGTTCATTATGCAATAAAATTCTAAACTTTGTTAAATAGCTTTGCAAAGCATCTTTTATCAGACTATCCAAAACTTTTCCCACAACTGATGTAAAACTAATGGGCCTATAATTACTGATACAATTTTTAGTACCTCATTTGAAACGAGGGGTGACACTAGCTAACTTCCAATCTCTTGGTGCCTACCCGCTATTTAAGAACTTACAAAAAAAATAGTAGCAAGTGGCTCACATATCCAATTGTTACGTCTCTGTTCGTTTGTTAATTTCCCGTATAATTTATTTCCGATGAAACTTTAGCAATACAAGTCTTTTCTTAATTAAAACTAGTTTATTATTTCTCGATACAACTTTATAATACACATAATTTCCACAGTCCCTTTAACTTAAACACACGCTATAATTCACAACGATTTACACCATTACTTACGGCTTGACTCGATTATCCGTCTCTATATCTCCCTATCTGCCAATTATCTCTGCCGGTCTTAGAAATTCAATATAGAGGGCGTCTGGCAAACATTCGAGCCTTCAGGAACGTTCGAAATACTCATTACGTTTTACCAGCGTCACGTGACTTCCGCTGTCGTAACACAATCCTTAACCTCCTTTAAAACCCTTGGGGAAATATTATCTGGCCAAGAAATTTATCATTTTTTAAACTTCCCAATTTATTCTTAACAAGCTCAGAATTAGTGCAATCATATTGTCTGACCTTATTACCACCTATCAACTGTTCAAAATGAGGAATACTGCTTAAATCTTCATTAGTAAAGCCTTCGTTTATCATCCTTCAAAGGTCATACACCAGTCCTAACAATTTGTTTACCCTTAATGTATTTAAAGAAATCCTTACACTTATTTCTATGTTTTTAGGTTACATGTTTAATTTTTTAACTGGGGTATTAGCGCGAATAACGTTATGATCAAGTAATTTTGTAAAAGTGGTCCTAGAATATTCGGGAACATTAATGATGGAGAGATTTTGCTTAGTGTCTAGAAACAGTACTACATTATAAATACGAGAATCAGTGAAACATTGAGCCATTCAGTCAGTTTTAAGTTGATAGAGTACCAGTCATTCAGTGAAGTAATTAAATCAGTGTTAGTTATCACTTATATTTAGTTACTTGATCAATTAGCTGTAAAACTGTACAAGTAAGTTTATTTGTGCATTTGCCATAGTGCCATTTGTAAAGTGTTTCCATTTTAAATGGCAACACAGTAGTATAGCGTTATGTCTGTGAACTTACGATGCTAGAAGCCTAGAAACCGGGTTTTGATACCCATGTTGAGCAGATCACAGACAACCCATTGTGTAACTTTGTGCTTAACTTCAGACAAACCAAAGAAAAATCCTTTGAAATGCCAGATGTAAATTTAGACCTATAAGTTACAACAGTGTAAAGTTGAAGGTTGCTGCAGAAACGTTAAGAAATAAATAAACTAGTTTCTTATTGTTACATGGACTGGAGTTGGCCGTATTTTCATTAAATGACTTTAAAAAAATGTTTTCCGTAATGTTAAAAAAATCTGGAATCTCAGAGACCTTGAAATAGCTAACACTATAATAGGCCAGACACTCTACTTGCATAGACCATAGCAATGTTATAGCATTCTGTCCCATAATTCTCACTGTTCGTTCAACTGGCAGAAGTTACATACTTTCATGTTACATTCACTGAACTTTGAT